AAAGGGGATTTTTTTTATTAGATTCTATTTTTCTTTAGTTCCTAGCGCTTGTGATTGGTCGTTTGAAACGCCCTGTGATTGGTTAGTAGAGAGAAAAAATCCATTTCAACGATGTAAATTTTCTGATTTATGAGTGAGGAAAATATGCAAAATTGGAAATTCGCTTTCGCGACATATTTACATCCTTACTTTTTCAGCTTTGTTCAGTTAATTATGTATTCATAGCCATACTTGTCTTTTTGTGTGTTTGTTTCCTGCATGATGATTGTTGCAAGATATTGAATTGTTACTAAATACTTTCTCCTGTTCAAGAACAACTATGTTTCTACCCAGGCCCACTTCATGTAGCTAATGGAGTTTGGAAAGGATTTAATAAAAGCTGAAATAGTGGTGTGCTAGGCAATGATATTCACTGGATTTTGGTCGGGTGAGTCATCAACAGATTGTGTGAGTCAGGTGATACCGCTTAGATGCACACATGTGACAAAAGCACACATGTTGATGAGGAAGGTTTTTCAAGGGAAGTGACAATCTGGGCTCACAGAGGAAAAGGTATAAGCACAATTACGTACAATTTAAGAGGTAACAAAGAATGGTCAGAGAAGTACAACTATTGACAATGTGCAGTAACTAGACAAGAATCTATATATATATAATCACAGAAATACTCAATCCAGGTTATTATTATTGAATACATTTTAATTTGGCAGAATTTTTGTAAGTTGCTCGGAAGTATGCAAATGTTAATTTTTCAAAGAGCTACCAGAATACCTATAATGCCTCTGCACTAAAATTGTTTCATGAGAAAATTGATTTGACGTCGCGTGACTTTCTCTGTTTCAAAAGTATATATACGCTCATGAACAAAACTTAAGGAAGTGGAAAGTCTTTGATGTCGCCGGTGATCTTTTTTTTTTTTAACACACTTGGTTATCTCGTGTGTCTTCAATAAAAGCCATTTCAAATATCTTTCAGAGTTATTGTCCCGATATACATGCTAAAAGGTAAAACTTTCTTAAGTTTTGTCCATGAGTGTATATGAGACATAAATATAGATACTACACAAAGCTTATTCCCCAAATATTTGAAAGGTGACCTGCCAAGAAGAGAGATAATTCGAAATTCTGTCTCTCTTACCAAATATATTTTTTGCAAATGATTTGGAATTAATTCATAAACCTGTGTATGTTCTTTGTAACTCTATCTGGTAAAATAACTTTTGTTGGATATATTCCCACTTTACATATTATCGTTTTACTAAAATATATATATTTATATACCAAAAGTTATTTTGTACAATATGTAATTTTCTTTAGTTCCTAGCGCTTGCGATTGGTCGTTTGAAACGCCCTGTGATTGGTTAGTAGAGAGAAAAAAATCCATATTTCAACGATGTAAATTTTCTGATTTATGAGTGAGGAAAATATGCAAAATTGGAAATTCGCTTTCGCGACATATTTACATCCTTACTTTTTCAGCTTTGTTCAGTTATGCTATGTTTTAGCTATGTTACATGCTGGTTACTGCCATCTATCGGAATAAATATAAACTAAATAGCCTTTTTTCCCATTATTTCCGAATAGAAACCGCGGATATAAATTTATTAAATGATTTTTTTTTAAATGTCAATCACTAGAAAATTGTATGAAATTAACGTTTAGTTTAAGATCGTTTCTATAGAAATCATTGTGCGCAACCAAACAGCAAAATGTAGCTTATCAAAATACAAACATAACAAAGTTTTATTAAGATTTTTCAATTAAGAAGTGTCATTTTCACAAGATTCTCCTGAGGATATTTTTAGAAAAGTGGAGGAAAAAGATATTGAATTTATATTTTTTAAAAATCACAATAATATAAATTTACTATTTTAAAAAGAGTGTTTATTTACATATTTAAAATATAGGAGTGAATAACTTGGGACACTAATTAGCAAGTTTTTGAAAGGCTCTTTTCTTTTAACTTTACAGAATTAGCAGCAGCTGCTGCCCTTGTAGAAGTGGGAAACATGACAAGGCTGTTGTGAAGATTCTATAGAAGTGTTAAGTTGCCCCCTGATGACAATATTAGTAAAAAAAAATCTCTTTAAAACTGGAGAAAATATTAGATGTGCGCCTGCGCCACACTGTTCTTACACGAGGGACCTAGAAAGTCCTAAAACCAATGTGTGAGGCACGGATTTTTATTTTTACAAATAAAATATACCTTTACTGTCCTTACTGCAATGATAAAAAATATTTGGAAGGCTTGACTCATCTGTAAATAAACCCTACCAACGTTTTAGCCGGTTTAATCTACCATTTCGTTGTTTTTTTAGCGCTCTACTATTAGATGAGTCTGCTTTATATATCGAACATTTTAAGATTGAATCCTGGTCATGGTATTTAAACAAAATGTAGATATAAGCTTTAAAGACAGTAGAATTACATGTAAAATTTTCCAGTAGTACTCTTTCGCAAGTAATTCATACAAGGTCAGTCCTTATGTTTTCATACAGATCCCAGATTAAACGATGGTAGCTTTTACTAATGTTTCAGAACGATATGCAAATTAAATATAAAGTATACAAATATTTCATAAAGATACATATCTGCCTAATTTTAGTTTATATAGGTTCCTATACGAATTTAACCAAATGGTCTTATCAGCGCGCGCAACAAAAATGTTACCAAATATTTAATTTTAAAGTGAATCGCTGGCTGGGGATAAAAGGTTGGGAATTATGCAAATAGGCTGCCATCTTGGGCTAAGTTCATTTACAACGATGAGGAAATGTTTGTGTCAAATTTTTGCAACATTCTCTCTCTGACCCTTCTTTACAAATTAATTAAAAGGTTGGTGGTGTTCTAATGGTAGGCCCTCTTGATTTTCGACAGCCATACCCAGGATCGAATCTCGTGTTGAATATATTTTTTTAACTTCTTAAATTCGCTCTTGAATCTTGCACAAGTGAGTACCAATAACCAAACAGGTCTCTGGCACCTTGTAAATGCAAAAGTAGAAATGTTTCTATAAGTGTTTATTTACCATTATTCATCCGCCATGATCATCATGGCTTGTACCATGTATACTCTAGGTGTATAATTTAAAAATAGTTTATGCGAATCATCTCCCCAGAGAAAGCTAAATGCTGTCAGTTGTAACACAGTAGTTGTATGTATTCACTAACTAGGTAGTGTAGTGCCGTCTACGTTCTGTAAGTTCTGTAGGTGTTGGAGGCTCCTACGTTACCCCGTGTTACACAATGCCGTGAAACGAATCTCGTACCAACCTCATTATAAGAACGGCGTGAATTAGTGAACGCCACACGGACAGATAAACTTCCTCTATACAGGATGTTCATAAAGTGAGATATTTCAGAATAGATATTTCGGAGAATAGCTAGGCATTAACTTCAAACAAAACTTTTTAAATGGAAATAGAAGCCATTAGATCCTATATCATTAAAAATTATATGAGAAACAAATTTCCCGTTCATGTAACGCTCTGGGTTTTAGGAGGCATTGAAATGATTGTAGGCCATTTGGACGTAATCTTGGGTTTTAAAGGATTAGGAAGTGGTTGAGGTGCTTGAAGAAGTCGAGAGGCCGGACGAGTGTGGAGGGAGATGAAGAGTTTGATAGCAGTGACAGCCGTGTCATCGTTGTGACCGGCGTTATCGTGGAGAAGGATTCTGTTGATCGGGCAGATTCGTTGATACAAGGGTACAAGAAGAGTGACCCTTGTATCTTCAAATTGTATAGGAGCTCCATCTATTATTTCTTCCTGTGGTGAATTTGTATAAGACCGCTGATCTTAATAAAGCTTTGTGTGTGTGTATGTATCTTTAAATTGCTGACAATTCCTCCTCCGCTGTGAAGATCTCTTGGAAGCTGTAATGGATGAAACCAGCCTTTGACTACCAGTCACATTACCTACTTCTGTTGCAATTTTGTATTCGGAAAGTATGTCAGAGTTACGGCATGGTCCAACCATTGCGCCAACTGTCGCCGGATGTCACCAAGAGTCCATTTCTCTTCGCAAGTTCCGCTACGTTCGAGAAACGGGACGTTCTTTTTGCGCCGACCATACGTCATAACGGCTGGTTTTCTGATTTCCATTCGGAATTCGTGCGACGCCCAAGCTTTAGCATCTTTCAATTTGACTAAGATAGTGAACAACTCTAGTTCTTCGGCAACTCTAGCGTAGTTTTGTAGGCGTCTGCTTCAATTATCTCCTTCAAATGATCCGTGTCAACCTCCGTCCATGACCCTCTCTAACTTCAAGGCCATGTCGCTGCGCGGAAGTGTGGCCTCATTGCCCCATGCACTGATAGCATGACGAATTGTGTTCGCAGCGATGTGCCCAAGTTTGAACTCACGGCGTGAAATTATGTTGATTTCTCATTATGGAAGAATTTGTTAAAACGCACACTCGGAAATCACACAAAATATATGATCATCACAATGAATAGGATTAAATGATTGGGCAGAATAAAGATTTTAAAAGGATATGTATCGCAAAACCACGAATATATTAAACTATCCTAATAAAAATCAACGATTAAATACCTACATTTTGATATTGGTCATTATGCTTGCATAATATATAACGGAAAGGTCATGGCTCATCAATGCCTCACTCTCTTGCTGCGGTTTCGCCAGTTTAATCTCAATTTTCAATTTTAACCACGGAGAGGGTTCACCACTGATGAGTCATTCCCCTCCACTATTATAATATTTACCTCATCGTCCAATACAACAGTAGAGCGCTAAAAAGCGCTGTGGGAGTTTAACTGGCGAAACCGCTGGGAGGGTTCCCCACTGATGAGCAAGGCTCTCCCAATATTTATCCATCGCAGTAAGGACAATACGAAGTTTGCTTTATTTGAAGCAGTAAAAAATCGTAGTTAATGTTTTTTTTTTATTATTTTGTTTACTAGCCGAATGACCCGGGCAACGCCCGTGTTTTACCGATTGAATGTTTTGATTCAAATACTATTTGTTACAATTATAAATTGTGGTCATGTGGCCTAGTGGTCATTGCATCTGCCTGGTATGCGGAAGGTCGTGGGTTCGATTCCCATCCCTTGACACTTTTTTTTTATTTTATCCATTCTGACCAAAATCTGTCCGTGAACTTCACACAGTGAACTTCACACAGACAGAATAAGGCAATTATATAAGTAGATATAAATATCGCGTTATTTCCTGGTGTGTTTAATTGCAAAATTTTCACCGATAGAAGGCACTATGAAGATGATATTTTAAGTATGGTTCACGCAGTACGTAGCCATGGTGGTGGGTAGAGAGTTGTGAGTGACATACTCGATGTACCACATACCTCACACTGATAAAACAGTCTGACTCATATAACCATGTGGTGCCAGAGGCCTGTTTGGTTATTTGAACGCTCTGGTAGAGTTGGACTTCTGCCCGCCATAACATTTTGCTGGGAAAATAAAAGCTGAAACCACTATTTGGGTGGCACGAGACACATGGGGGGACCCACTTTAGCCACATGACAGCCACGTATACACTTGTACCACCCACGTCTAACAGGGAGGGAATGGACAGAGCCTAATCTTGGATACCTTGATAAAATTGTTTGAATATAAAATATTTTTTTTATTAGAGAGGGTGTGAACAAAATATAGTTTATAAATGTATATATTATTAACTGTTCTCAATATAAAATATGTTATATGATATGATTTAAAAAAATAAATTATGATAGATTTCTGAAAATATTTTACAATTTTTATTTAAAAAACGGGATATAATGTAGAAAATATCTGTCTTGAAACTACATAGTTTCAGTATTTGGTTCTATAGAAAATGACCCTTTAGCAAATGTACACGCTTGTTCGGAAGTATATATAATAAAATTGGAACGATATAGCAAATGATCCTCTCGAATTTTAAACCCTTTTCTTCCTGGGAAGACAAGCAACCAACTAAGTCACTTTGTAAGTCGAACTTCTTCCTACATGTACTTAAAGTACTAGCGGTCACCATTCTCTACCCATCATGGTCTGATACTACATATGTAGATATGTAGTGTACTTACACACAGTACAAGCCGTCACAATCCTCTACCCACCATGACCGGCTACTATATATGTATATATAAGAAATGGACACTATTTAGACGCTAATTATTATTTTTGAAAAAAAAACGATTTTCTACTTTCCTTACTGCAATGATACTGCAATGGGAGGGTCTGGCTTATCAGTGATGAACCTTCCCAGCGGTTTCGCCAGTTTAATCTACCATACCGTTGTAATATTACATTTTGTATGATACTGAAGCTGAACTGTTAGTGGTTTACGTAAAGTACAATCAGTCACAACCCTCTACCCACCATGGCCTGAAACTACAAGTGTAGATTTGTGTTGTATTTACAGTTCAAACAGTCACAGCCATGATCTGATACTACATATGTAGATATGTAGTGTATTTACAGTACAAAGAGTCACAATCTCCTACCATGGCCTGATACTACATGTATATATTTTTTTGTACTTACAGTACAAACAGCCACAACCCTCTACCCACCATGATTATCATGTAAAAAAGGAGCAAACGCTATTTATCCTGAGTATTTTATCAGGTAATGCCGAGCCTATTGATTTAACACCATCAGAGATAGCGGCGGAACATGTGGGTGGGGTCCTCCCAGCTAGTTGTCGCTCAGTGTTATATACTACATTTTTATGCAAATATGGTTACATTGCACCGAATATGCAAATAGACAGTATGTACTACAAATACATAGTTATTAAATATAAATAAGGATATGTCTCACAGAGACTATGCAAATATCTCCCTAGAAACTCTTGAAGGCAGGTAGAGTCGGTCTCCTCGTACGACCTGTAGACTTTGGTGGAGGAATGGAGAACTCCGTCAATTTTAGGAAACCACGAATCCTTGATCGAATCCCGCATTGAGAACTTTTATTTCTGCTTTAATTGACCCCCGACATAAGTTCAACCCAAACAGTGGTTGTAAGCAACCAATTGGAGCTATGACATACTTGTAGACGCAAAATTCGAACTGTTTTCTAAATGTGTAGATTTGTGGTGTACAATACAGTTAAAATCAGTCGCTAATTACCCACCATGATTATCATAGCCCATACCATGTACACTTAGGATGACTAAAAATATTATACATAGTAACACACCTCCCAATAAAGACTTCTTCTTATGAGCGACCACCTTTATAAAAGTAATAAATACTTGACTTATATAGTATAATTTAACTTCCAATTATATGCCTAAAATAAATGGCTATAGTAATATTTGACTCGACGGTGGATAATGAACAAATTATGTTTGTTGTGCGCAGTCATTTCTTGACAAGGTTGAAGTAGAAAAGCTAACTGGAATTACGCATAATGGTATATTTAAAGAACGAAAATGTGTTTGATCACACGACTCTGTCTTAAACCGAGAGCCGCCTCGTAGATGTATAAAGCAGTATATTTCTGTCTGATTGGTTGTTTTGCGGTGTGTAGGAAATCTACTATATATATCGCCCAGGTAATAATTGTTTTGTGTTTTTTAGTATAATGATAACTTATATAACTAAAAAATACAATAAAGCCTATTTAAAATTTGATTTTATAAATAAATTTTAAAAGAGAGCTCTTTACTCTATAAATATACACGGGTAAAAATGTACTCGGGGGAATTTACTTTTATACAAAAGTGGTCGGTCGCTCATAAGAAGAGGTCTTTATTGAGAGGTTTGTTACTGGATATACTCTTTTTTTACTTGTGTACTTGGTATAGGCCATGATAATCATGGTAGGTAGAATCATATATTTAAATAGAATATAAGTTGAGGATATATTCGTTATGAAAACAGGAACCCCATGTGTAATAGTAATAGAAGAAGTTAGAGAGTTGGATGACAACGTTGTGTAAGTGAGATTACAGTTGTGAAATCTAAATAAAGCGATATGCGTGAGACCGCAATGGTGCAATCTTGTCAACTGATACGGCTTAACGTCCAATGACTCTGCCCCACTCTGCCCCGCCATGAATATGCCTTCACAATAAATAAAAAAACCGAATCCTTAACTCATTTATAAATAACTCATTAACAATTATAGATGTCACCGACCCGAGTACTCTAGTTTGACGGAGACGGTCAATATATGGAACTTAGTTTTAACGTTCATTTTTGAAGGAAGACTTTTCTTTTATAGAGAAATGTCATCCTGGCCAAATTCCGATCTATATTTTGGTCAGAGACTTGACCTAGCTATTTTGCCAGCCAGCTAAACATCTCTTTGGCAAATTCTGAGGATCCCATGCGGATCATTTGACAACAAAGTTCGCCCGGTGTACTGAAGAGGGGCCATTAGCAATGAAACCATGATATCCAGATTGGCGCTCTGAATTTGGTGAGACCGCTGAGATGGTCTACTACTGATGGGGCGAGCTCTCTCTTCTTTGTTTTCGCTCATTGCAGTAAGGTATGTACACTGATGGACAGAACTTAAGAAAGTGGAAAGTCTTTGATATCGCCGGTCTTCTTTTTTTTTTTTCTTAAGAAGAAGAAGACAGAGGCACTTTTGTTCACACTTTGGTTATCTCGTGTGTCTTTAATAAAGGTCACTGTGTGTCAAATATCTTTCTGAATTATTCTCTTTTTTTTTCTTATCCCTAATACACGTGGTACAGGCCATGATAATCATGGTGGGTAGAAGAAGTAGGCGACTGCTTTTACTGTAAGTGCACCACATGTATACACATGTGAAAAGCAGTTCGACTTTGCATTTACAAATGTGCCAGAGACCCGTTTGGTTACTTGCACTCGCTGGTGGGGTTGGACTTTTGCAAGAATCGGGAACAATTGGATCTTTTTTTTTTTTAACATAAAAATGTGCCCAATGCGGGAATCGAACCCAGGTCGTAGCGGTCGAAAACCAACGGTTTAGACCATCCTTCCATCGACCCCCTGAATTATTCTCTAAATCCCAATATACATGCTAAAATTTCCTTAAGTTTTGTCCATATGTGAATATCTCCTTGGAGAGTTTTCTACATACAGCCTGCACCACCCCTGCCGAGGACCAATAGCCCGAAACGCGTGTGTGGTTGGCTTTTTATGGATAATTTAAAGAAAGGATATTGTCCATTATTTAGGAAATTAACAAAAAATCATCGTTTAGTTTATATTTTCCTCTATAAATGACAATGTGGTACATAAGCAACATTCAGTTACAGGATCAAAGTTTTTTTTTTTTTTGCTTTAAATAAATGTAAGATCACAGAAGTCCAGTGTTGCCAGTTGTTATCTCCCGTCACAATCGATGGCCGTTAGAGGTCGTGGTATCTAATTAAGATTCTCTTTCCCTCGAGGTTTGTTTACTCTAGATGTTTGTTGTTGGTTCCTTCCCTCGCTAAATAATCTCTGTGTGTGGTTTAATATCTCTCTCTTCGTTGTACATCTGAACCACCGGAGAGTATATGCAAATTTGAGCTAACCAACATTTCACATTTTTGAGAATTTTGTTTATTTCAACTTTTATCTATTTCGGGGGAACCTGAAGTTGAATAATCTTATTCTGTAATGTTCTTTTTAATATTTAAAAATATATATTTCTCTCTCTGAATCATTTAAATATATCACAAGTCTGTGGATCTTGAGTTTCCTAATTGAGAAAGAGAGAATCAAAAACATCAAGTCGGTGGACGAGTGGGTAACACCCTCGATTCCCGACAATCATGAACCGGGATTGAATCCCACGTTAACATTTTGTTTAATATCTGAATAACCTTCCCCTATTATTCATTGTTTCAATTATCATAAACTAGGTTGCTCTTTTTGAGCGGTACCTAATAAAGTGATTTTGGAACAAGAAAGAGAGAAATAAGAATTGTCTGATTTGGTCATTAAGACTGGAAGCACTCCTCAGTAGCAGGCCGACTTAGCTTCAATATAAAATGGCTGACTCTGACATGAGGAACAGACGCCATGTGTAACCAATCCTAACTTGGATTACAAACGCTGTTCATCCCATTCTCATAGATCAAGAGCCCTCACAGCTGGTACTATCAGCCGGGCCAGCTGTACCCAGGTTTTTTTAGCGAGCTTGTTAGTGCTTCCCCTCATCAGACAATCTCAATATCTGTGAACATTGCCGTAAAGAGAGTAGAAATTTGCTTTATTTGAGAAAAATCGCGCTAAATTGTTCTTGCTTTTTAACTTTAGATGGGGCCTTATATTTAAGAATTGTAACAATTTTCGTGAAATTTCAAGAAAAGGTTATATAGCCACCCCCCCCCCCCCCATCCCCCCACCACCTCTGAAAAACTTTCTAAAATCAACAGAAAGTTTATATGTTTTTCGATTGATGGCAAAAGCTATCAGCAATATTTATTTTTACAAATAGTCAAATTTCTCATTTGCATGCCTTTTTCTATATTTATGTAAATTAATATAGTATATATAGTATGTATATATTCACTACAGCCATCGGTATCGTTCATAGTGTCGTTTTTATCTTTCTTGTTGAAGGGCTTTTGCCCGAAAGCTTGCTCTAATGCATCAATAAAAAAAACTCGTCTTCCTTCGCCATGTTTTTATCGTCTAAATATTCAGTTTCACAATAAGGAGGTGTCCTTTCATTATATTTCTACTATATTACCATGTATGTGATTGAAAACACCGGTTCTCGTCCGATAACCGAAGTAATGTCGGGCCCGGTCAGTACTTGGGAGGGTGACCATGTATGTGATCTCTCTTTCATCTCTACTTTTGTTGTTGTTGTTGTCGTGTCCAAAGAAGAGTCTCAGATGTCTCCAAGCATCTCTATCACAGCAGCAGCAATATCCACTATCTTGGGTGTGTAAAGCTGCTGCTCTGGGTCTAAGTTAATCTCTACTTTAAAAAAAAAGGTTTAAACATTGCAAGCATATGGAGTTAGATCTCCCAGGTTTAATAGTAGCTCCGTCATGGTGTACAGAGCAATTTCCTCTTGGCGTTGTTCCAACTTACGACAGACACACAATGGGGATGGATGATTGTTGTTAGGTGTGACTACACAACTATAGACAATTTTTGAATTATTAATCAAGTATATGCTGTTTTTGATCTACATTCTAACAACACATAGGTGAATAGTTTATATATACATTGTAACAACAATAATAGGTATCTACATTCTCCAATTACATCAGACAACCTTCTTGTAACAAAGGCCTATATATATAAGCACTAGACTGACCTTTCCCAAGAGGAATGTTGTTTATTCCCGCCATCTGGTCTGTTGTAATATAGAAGACCTATGTCTCAGAATTTGATGATTTCTACTGAATTATCCTGTTTTGTGGTTTAGATATAATCATATATTCGTTATGTGTGTGTGCATATGCGGATTTCAATTAATATCAAAACAACAAATGAGATATTGTTTAGTAAACCACAGTATTTTTATTCCAGTTGTACATGGAGCTGAAGAAGAAGGCAACATAGCCGAAAGTTTCTCTGATAGTAATAAAGTTGCGGTATCAGTTTCGTTTTTCGAAATTAAGGAGATGTTGGGGCTGTGAGTGTGAAGCTATCGTTTTTGCATATAATGTAAACTTGCATATTGGTCTGTTAATTTGAGAGAGCGACTTGACTAGAGTCTTGAATATATGGAAGTTGTTGAGTGTCTTTCTCTATTTAGGGGTTTTTAATCGTTTTTGTTCATTTTCTCGAAGGTCTACCAGTAGTAGAGGTATATATGACACAGCTTAGAGGTAGAGAAAGATGGTCTGAAATATAGTTCAAAGGTAATGTCAATAAGCTTGTTCTATTGGAAGAAGTTTCAGTAAGATTATTATATATGTGTGTGGGGGGGGGGGGGAAGGGTAAAAAAGAAGGGTAGATCGTCGAAATGCAACCTGCACCATGCCGAAGAGGGCCAACATCCCGAAATGCATACATGATTATTTTTCTTTTGATATGATTAGGAAACTATTTTCCTAAAAATGGCAGTATCAATCATTTTCATCTTTTTCTATCACTTACATAAATCAAATTAAAGGTATTATAATCCGCTATTTATAGATAAGAATCCAAACTATATTACTCTAAATGGTTTATGAATTCTTACTTGTGCACATTGCAATGCTCTCATGATCTTGCTAATTGTCTTAAAGCAATATATCTCTGTCCGTCAAGTCTGATATTCGCCAACTGATTGGTTCCCTACAGCCACGTGACCTTAATCAGCCAATCAGCGTTGAAAGATCCAATGTGAGTGAGAATATTTCTTAGCTCACAGAGCGAAGTATTAAATCGAGAGGTAAAAGCTTCAATTCGTGACATGTGGAAAAATAGAAGTCATTGACCGTTGAGCAGATAGTATGTGTGATGGCTTACTTGTGTCATGAGATAGTGTTTATCTAGTGCTTTGTTTGGAGGTGTTTCTGGGGCCTTATTCTTGCCTAAAACATGATTTAGATTCTATAAAACCCATAGAGCGGTCTGGTCGATTAAATTAGCGAAAGCGTTGGGAGCGTTCACCACTGATGATATACATTTTATATATCTATATTTAAATAAAAATAACTTAAGAACTACGCGAACTCCGAGGATCATCATCGGAAGGACCATTGACCATAGTGAAGGAGGGATATACCCCTTGAAGAATAATTGAGGAAGTAGACCCCGCCCAATAAAAGGCTCTGGAATGTTGAAAGCTATTAAAACGTGAAGAGACAGAACAGGGGGCCTATGTTCCATGATGGCTGACCTCTATATCGGAGATGGCTACACTACCTGATGGGGATAAGAAAAGAACTATATTATTCAGATATTTTACCCTGCGCATGTTTCTGAATCATATATATCGTGATGTAGAAACCATATAGTCCATGGCTCACAATCAAGAGTTACATGAAGACACTTAGATTAGGATTGCCCTAACGGAACATCCAAAGAAGTCAACGAGAGTTCAGGCTACGTCATGGTACAGAATATTTTTAAGGAAAAACCTTAAAAGTCGGTTATACGCGATCTCTAAAAAATACCACAGCCCTAATTCAAGAAGAAGACACCGCGTCCATAAAAAAAAACAGACCGCATCCAAGAATAGTTTGAGAACAGACCACATTCGAGACCAAGTCACATCCTATAAGAATTTACCATTGGATTTCCAAGAATGGGAAGAATATCCAAAGACTAGACCACCTCCAAGAACAGACCACCTCCAAGAACAGACCACATCCAAGAACAGACCACGTCCATGAACAGACCACCTCCAAGAACAGACCACGTCCATGAACAAACCACCTCCAAGAACAGACCACGTCCATGAACAGACCACCTCCAATAACAGACCACGTCCATGAACAGACCACCTCCAAGAACAGACCACGTCCAAGAACAGACCACGTCCATGAACAGACCACCTCCAAGAACAGACCACGTCCATGAACAGACCACGTCCAAGAACAGACCACGTCCATGAACAGACCACCTCCAAGAAAAGACCACGTCCATGAACAGACCACCTCCAAGAAAAGACCACGTCCATGAACAGACCACCTCCAAGAACAGACCACGTCCATGAACAGACCACGTCCAAGAACAGATCTCGTCCAGGTACAAACCACTCCTAAGAAGACCACCACCCTACAGGATCCACGGGCAGGAAGCTGTCCAGACAACAAACCTCCCAGGCCAATTAAGAAAGAGCTAATCCCCGGGGTAACTGGAGTAATTTCCTCGTTGCCATAGCGACAACTAACGATACCGCTGGGGCGGGCGGGCGGGCGAACATCCATCAGGGATGTGGCTACAGGTCCGCGACCACTCTGGCTAACGTCATACCGTCTCTCCTTGAGGGACCTTCATCCGCCAACCCCTTTTCTGGATGATTCAAGAGCTATTGTAAAAGAGAAGCTTCTTTCTATCCTTTTTTATGCTAATAGATTCGGGAACCACCTGTTATGGTACCACCTGTATTAAGCAACCATTAGAGACAACACAAGTTGTCAGGGTAGAAAAATGCATCCGCACACAACAGGATTCCTCTCAAGACTGATTTGTCCTTTACGAAAAATGCCTATACAATATGCTAATGTAAATAACCCAACTTCGCGCGAATTCTCTATTCGAGTCAATGTTTACTAAAGAATGGGGTTTTTAAACGAATATTATCTTCAATGATTATATTCTTCTTCTTCTAGATAGAGTAGTCGACTCTGTTGATCATCGACATTTTCTGATTCCAAAATATGCAACTCAATATCTCCTTAAAAGTTTATCCAAATAGGTCAACAAAAACTGTGGAGACGTATGCGCAGAACAAACACATTTATATTTTATTTATATAGATTTTATTAGTAAATTAAATTTTTTATTGCCATCTATCGTTAAATTTTTACACAAATAAATTTACTGGCAATGCGTTTCTTTTGAATATAATCAAATATTATCTCTACAGACCTTACTGCAATGCATTGCCAGTAAATTAATTTGTGTAAAATTTTAACGATAGATGGCAATAAAATTTAATTTACTAATATATATTGGTTTTGAAAACATATTTTGCGGAAGAGCTTTGCTCGATGCAATACTTTGAAATTATATGTATGCACCTCTACAGACCTATAAGCTTATGTCCATAGTTCACTAAACACCCCTAAGCTGCCTTCCATAGAAAATGCAGGGTATATAACAAAACCAGTCCAATACAATAGTAGAGCGGTCTAGAGATTAATTTGGCGAAACCGCTGAGAGGGTTCACTACTGATGAGCCAAGCCCTCTCATTCAATAACTCATATCATTGCAGTAAGGTCTGTAGAGATAATATTTGATTATATTCAAAAGAAACGCATTGCCAGTAAATTTATTTGTGTAAAAATTTATAGATTTTATTATTATTATTTTGCGCTGTTGTTTTTAAACCTCTATTACTGAAAATAACAGTTTTTATAACCCTAATTTAGAGATTTTATTAATCGATTTATTTTCAGTATTTCAATTTTGTGTCACTCTCTCTCTCTATCTCTGAAATAAGATATCTACTGTTGAGTGAGAATTTTCTAAAAGATCAATAAGGATTGTGTTGTGTATACCCATAAAAAAAAACATTTTTAAATAAAATACAAAAGCTACAAGTTAGAAATCAAATAAAAGACTGATCCATTGCAGCCATCCAAAAAAGCAACAATCCCTCCTATGTTAGCTAACATCCGGCAAATTGAGAGCTTGCTGAAGAAAAGAAAGTGGATTCGTGGAATGTTTGCTCCGGAAAGACCTTCATTTCCTGTTCTTCGTCACTTCCGAAGGCAAATTTACTACAGTCTGTCCGCGCGTCCAAGGAAAAAAATGGACTTTTTTCTATTTTACACTTTAAATTTAGATTTTAAAATCTGTACTAAATTCAATAAAATGTATTCTGAGCGCTATTCTATATACTGGAAATAAAGATTATCTTTCTCTAGAGAGACCTAACATTCCCTATTACTAGCTATACTATACTAACTGAATGACCTGGCTTCGCCCCGATATTGCCCGGGTGGAGATTTGCCCAACGCATTTTGTTTTATAACAAATTATTTCAATAATCGTAATAATGATGAGATGGCATTAACAATTAGCAAGGCTGTACTTGTACGAAAATCGGGATCCATTGAAGCATCCTTTTTTTTTTTTTTAAGAAAAAGGCATCTCCTTATCGTGCAACTGAAAGTTTCTGATGGCTTGCGCCATCTATCGGAATATATCTCAACTATTCTCGTTGATTTT